TCATGATAACACAGGAATCATCTCCTAACTGCAACAGATATAGCAGCTATGCATATTAATGAGGTTAGAAGCCCCCCACCCCCATGGGCGTGTAGCCACATGACCTAGCCATATGCCATTCAGGGGAAAGAATGTATCTAAAGAGTAGAATACACATACAAAATGTTATTCCAATCGGACTAATACAAAACATGTAGTTGCATAATTTCAATTTTCACAAAATGCAAGATGGCGGCCAAACCACGTGACTTATCGAAAATATATTATTTTTTTCATATGCAGTTGAGGCCAGGCATGGTAAATATAAAAACATCTAGTAGATTCGTTGAATCACCTCTGAGAAACAAATGCCCAAACTTTTGATCAATTTTGTTTAAAATCCAAGATGGCGGCGAAACCATGTGACTGATCTGAAATTTTTTTTAGGTTTCTGAAAGGGTTAGATAGGGACATGCCATGACGCAATATTTGAGATTAACGCTCAAGTGTGGCATGAGTAAAAAACTACTTCCTGTTGAGAACAAACCCAAAATGGCGGCCAAACCATGTGACCGATCATAATAAATTTCTCAAACCTAAATTGGCTTCATATGTCGAAGCTAAGTACTAGTATTTTACTTGGCAGTTCTGAAGAAGAAGATATTTAAGTGTTTTTTGCGGTTTTTAGAGAAAAACAAAATGGCGGGAAAAGTCACGTGACCGCTAAAGTTTTTATTGCTGATATCCATTACACATGAGTTGTACTATATACATGTACCATAAAAAAAGACGCCTAGACCCCCAGAAAGTGGTCAAACAGCCACTTCCGGTTTTAGTCAACATTGAGAACACATACTTTAAAATGACGATTGTTTTATAAAACTACCATGTAGAATGCATAAGATAGTAGACAGTCCAAAAATATCCCCCAATTCATTGCACAGAAAACAAATATTTGTTGTGATTTTAACCAGACACAACACAACTGCTGAGTTGGACTGTGCAAGCGCCCCCAGCGACAAGATGACTAGAGGTCAGGGTTCATATGACATGTCCAAGCAAAGGTAAGAATGATTACTTATTTTTATGAGGTGTTGGAAATCGATTTTAATCGCCACGAACGATTGCCATCCGTTACTATAAACTTTTTTAAGACGAAGTGTAGTATCTTGTGAACAATTTGGCAGACTTTTGAGATTATATAATTAAATAAATTGCTGGAAATTTTCGATTCCATACAGCTGTGTAATAGATGCTGTACGGCAATGCGTGCGTATGAATGCGAGACGATGAATGTATTGCAGTGTTGTTGTCATTTTGTCTGAATTTTTAGATTGTTCGAATTATTTCGACGAATAAATGTCAATGCTAAATGATTGTTTTTATCTGGGAATGTGGATGTTGAGTAATGGGTTAAAATGAATCAAAAACTATCATTTCTACCATCGGTGTTTGTTTTGATGTCTTCCATGTGCTGTTCGCTAGGTCATGGATGTTGCTAGGTTAATTCATAATTTGCGGCGTCGTCGGCGCTCCGCAAGTTTTTTGCCGATATTTCCCCAGTCACTGTAAATTCTTAGACATAGGTAATGTGTAAAATGTAACTAGTGTATTATTCGTCCGAAATTTGTATTCTATTTTTTGTAAGCATGTAAAGCATTTTCCACAATCTTATAATTCATATGTAATTTCCAGTTTTGTTTCTTAAACATATATTATACATGCAACAATGTAATTAGAATTTCCCATTATCTTTCATAATAGATTATTATACATCTGATGGAAAACAGTTTCAAGGACATTTTAATAAACTCCTATCCAACTGTTGACATGGCAACAGCCAGAAACTGATGTTTGCCTACCTTTGTGTCAAATGTAACTTGCACAAACCTAATCACAAATAAGAATCCTTTATGTATCTTATTATACAGTGCATGAGTGTGTTCCCAAATTTAGTATTATGTTTTTGAATATTTCTCATTATTGTTCAATGACTTTTAACTTATCTGTGATTTGTCTTGGCTGATCTGCTTTTTAGATATACCGTACTCGACCACGTTGGCGCCCATGCCCGGGCAAGTGCCCACCCTCCACTTTTGCGCAATTTTTATATTTGGGGTCACATTCGGCAGAGCGCCCACCTCTTCAAAATGCAACTAATTTAAAACCTGGTCTTGCGTAACGAATCTTGGTAATCGTTTTTATAATACAGCGTGGATATCGACCATTGTGAACATGTTGTGAATGCTTAGAACATGGTAACCGTGCGTAAACTATGCTTTGACAATGACCTATTAATAGAAATAAAATGTGGTAAATATTTCATGCCATATTCAGTTTACCTCACAAAAATGGCTAGTTACTAGTTTTTTGGAAAAACCATGTAGTTTATTCACTGAAATCAATTCCAACAGATCGTACCTCGACATCGATAATTCACTTCCGCATTGCGTTACTGGAAAGTCTATCGGAATTTTCGAAGAATTGCGTCAGTACAACACGGCATTCTGATTGGTTAATAAGCAACTTTACCCATTAGGTCAAAGTACGCTGCTGCAGGTAAAATCTGCAAATGCATCATGGCGGAAAGTGATTTTCGTCGAGAGTTTGCGTACGATCCAACACCTTCGTCAGTCGAGATAATGACAATTTTGACTTTGACTGTGTTCCAACAGACTCAAATGTTTTTAATTTCGTAAATTCTGCTGGTACGTAATTAATATTGTAATAAAATGTGCATATTTTTTTTGATCATTT